ATCTAAAAAATATATATATATATATATATATATATTCATGGTAAAAAAGCCGTAATACGGTTTTACATGTGTTTCATTATTCAGATTTATTTCACTTAAACAAGATAATTATGTACATTCCAATTTCCACTCTTGAAATTAAACCTAATTTCCTGTAACAAATAGGATATCATACATAATACTTAGCCTAAACTTCTCCCGAATTATGTATTTATAATGTTATGAATTAATACTTTTATTTAACAAATGATAGTATGAAATTAAGGTGTAGAAAATGTGAGAAGTAATAATCTTTTAAACAATTGTTTATAACCATTTATGTGAGTTACAGAACTTTCCTCATCTCTCATACAACGAGAATTACCTTTTTAAAATTAAACTAAATATCCTAAAGCAAATAGGATATCATACTTATGGGATAGATAATCGCCATCCTCAGGTGTTATATTTAATGATAAACCAATAATGGGTATCATTGAGAATGATATTATTGAGTGTACGAGGGACGAAAAGCAAAATATTACGCAATATATAAGGATTGAAAACTGCTGACTAGGAGAAGAAATATTCTCATCGCTAACACTACTTTCTTCTTTCTTTTCTTTGTTCTTTTTTGAAGAAAAAAAAAAGGAAGAAAGTCCATCATCAGAAAGCCATCGATTCAAGGTTTTGAGGTTGTTCTTGAAAGAAGCATACAACTTTCCCACCTTTGCAACCTGCCTAATGGTTCTGAAAGAGTTCTTGGTCTGGCATACATGTACCGGTTCTGCTTGATTACCAAGCAAAGATGATTTCTATCTTTAAATGCTGCGGGGTCTTTATTTTTGTGTACCAATGGAGCACAGTAGGCCTGTTTTAGAGGATTTCATTGACTAGGGGTGGTTCCTCTTTTTTTTTCTTTCCTTTTTTTTCCTTTCTTTTGCAAGATTTTTTTTAAACCTTTCCCCTCCTCACTTCTAGATCAAAATGATTCTTGCTACATTACGCTTGGGAAGAAAACGTGACCCTAAGGGTAACAAAACAAATAAATACTGTTTTAGGTCATGCACGGTTCTATTAAAGAAAAACAGGGCATTTTTAAATATACAGTGTTTACAAAATTTGAAGACAAATTACGTTCCTTATAATTTGTCATCCTCTTTGTGTCATCCAAGAAAAAAGATACATTGTATAAAGATACATCAGGGTTAGTTCTCATCTTGTCCTTCTACAAATACAATATAATTGAGATCTGTAGTTAATCTTTCAGGGCGTAATTTTTACCCACACCTAGTTTGGAAAATAAACTAAAACTTTAAATTATCTTTGTAATTACTTCGTAAATATAACTCATCTTTTATTCAACTCATGAGGCATTTCCGATCAATTGTCTTTAAATTAAAACACCATGATATGCCTGTGACAATGATTTTAATTGCAAAAGATAAGGGATTTGCATAACTGAAGATTTTTATAACTACTCGACTTTCTGCTATATATTTTATAGATAAGTAAATAATCAAAAACGAAGGTTTTCTGAATTGGGCTAATTTTGACAATATTTTAAAAGCTTACAGAAAGAAAAATTTGAAAAAAGATACAATCATGGCTGCCTAAATGGATAAGAAAAAATCCTGTAGAATTATCGAATTAATATAAATTTCATGATGACTGTTGCATAATGTTTTTATTTTACACATAAGGAATTTTAAGGATTTTTATAGCCATCAAAATTAAGAAACTGCAATATTTCTAGTTATGATTGACATTAAACATACTTGAAATGTATTGTATTATATTTACTCATAAATTTAAATATTAATAGGCATTTAATTCATCAAAGATAGTTAAAAGATTTTTGTTTAAACTAATCTAAAAAGAGAGTTCTGAATAAAAATAAACTGAACATTTCAAAACAAAAAAAAACTGAAAGTGTTGAACTGATTTCGACAAATGAGGCTCGCGTCATTATGTAATAGTAATACTTATTTAAATATTCAAGCAAAGCAAACAATAATCTGTACAAAAATTCTATTTCACAAGGGATTTTTTTTGCTAGGAAATTTACAATTTTATTGAATTTTCTAAGATGTACAAAAATCAAGAGAATTTTATCAAACTAGTAGATCAGGAGAAACTGTCAAAATCCAGTAGAGTTGGCCGTTAAATACAATGTATTTTTCAGAGTGAATTCTCATTTTACATATACAATATAATTGAGTTCTGTCTTTCAGTGCGTCATTTATGCCCAATCCTCGTCTCAAAAATAGATAAAAGGTTGAAATTATCTTTGTTATTATTTCGAAAATATCTTTTATTACACTGATGAAGCATTTTCAAACAATTCTTCTTTTATTTAACACACTATGATACGTCTTTGTATTAACCTGCGGCCATTTTTGGCAAAAAATAATTATTTGCATATTTATCCATTTTTTTTAATACCAAAAAATATTTTGATAGCGAAGCATTAAACCAAAAACTAAACCTTTCAAAATAGTGTTTAATTTTGCTAATATTTAAAAAGCTTCACTACGAGCGAGCATGGTGGCTACAGTCTAAAAAATTTAAACAGTGACCCCTATTTTAAGAGGTTATCGTAACTTGCTTTATTTTCACATCAAGTTTAGGAATTTACTTGGACAGTTGTATCGGGTATTTAAATTATATATAATTTTTGGTTGATAATAATCAGTTGAAACATTTTGTTTTCACAATTTCATAAACCAGTTTTTAAATTTTTCTGGAAAGTGGCTGTCCTTTTTTTTATATTAACTTTTAAATGAGAGAACTGTAGCTTTAGAAAAAATAATTTCAAATCTAATTTAAAAATTCGCGAAACATGACATTAAAGCTCCTATTTTGCTACCAATCGAAAATATTAGCCTACAAGGGAAGAAATATCCTCCTTTTATAATTATGTACAATTACTTTTTTCAGATAAGGGATTTCTATTTATAGATCATATTTTGACATTGTGGTTTCACAATTATAAATTTGCTAACTCACAATTATTCACAATTATAACAGTTTTTGCTAACTTTATTTCTCCCTTTTGTTTCGAAATAGCACGAATTTTATGAATCTAGATTTAAATAGGTTTAATCATTTATATTATTAATAGGATTCAGATACTTTAGCTGTTTATATTTTCATTGACCTTAATTTTACCATGAACATTCATGGTCCTCTGGCTTAAATGTTTTTTTTTTTTTTTTAAATCTAAAAGTGCCACTAAATTTAGGAAGTTTAAAACGAATTAAACACATTCTTAAAACCGCAAATCACTTAATTCCAACAACATTCAAAACAAACACTCAAAACCTGGAAATTCTTGGACTTAAAATCGAAAGTGGCAGCTTGAAATAGTAAATTTGCAACTTGCTTTCAGGTCTGTAAATTTTCTACGTTTTTTAGAAAATTATATTCTAGTTGTACCAAAGTTTATGTAAAATAATGCATCTTTGTATATAGGTATATATCTGTGTAGGGGAGGTTCTGGGCTCGAATCCCGGGCAAGGTATGGATGTTCTTTCCTTCTCTGTACTATCTGTCCTTACTGTGGGAGCGACGTTAGACCACCTAATATGGTGCCCCTGTAAGTGAGGTCAACAAAATCGCCCTGTAGATGCCTGAATTGACGGATGTTAACACAGGCGGGCATTAGAATATATATATATATATATATATATATATATATATATATATATATATATATATATATATATATATATATATATATATATATATATATATATATATATATATATATATATATATATATATATATATATATATATATATATATANATATATATATATATATATAGATAGATAGATAGATAGATAAATATATATAAATAATTATATATAATATATAATTATATATCTTTGTTTAATAAGTTTGATTTAAAATTATTTTCTGCACCACTATATGTGAATGAGTCAGAGTTTAATAAATAAAGGTAATTCATTCCAGTTCTTTCGTGGTTGAATTTTTAAATTTTTAGCAAAATTAATCAAAATTTTGAAAGCTTTTAGTTTTTGATTGTTTACCACTCTATAAACCACTTCGCAAAAAACATAGTATGGGAAGCCCTGTGCATGCAATAAAATTGACTTCACTATTTTGATTTTTTAACTGTGCGAATTCGGCAAAAGAATTACGAAACTAACTAGACAATGTACTTTGCTTGATTTGATTTAAAGATAGCTATCTTTCAGTTATTGCACATTGCCATTTAAAATATTGCCTGAAAAATTGTGCTTGTTTAAACTTTGTTTAAGTTTCCAGCATAAAATATATGATCTATTCCAATAAACTTTTTTCGTTTGCTTAAAAATGTGTTTTTGCATGACACCGTAAATGATTGTGATAAACGAAGTAGTAAAATAAGCAGCATGAAGTAAAAAATGAGCAATGCGTAAGAGCAAATTAATTTTTTCTCTTACCTACACAAGAATTCAAATGTGCGAAAATAATTCATGAACTTCAGTGAATTTTAGGGCTAATTATAGTCGTCATCCAACTCAACCAGTTGGAACATTTTCGTCTCCACGGCTAAAAGTTTAACTATTTTTTTTTTCTTGCGAAGACCGCAATCCACCGAACACATTTTTACTGAACTAAAGTGTTCATTTTATATCCATTAGCCAAACCAAGTATGGGAGAAAATCTAAATGATTAGACTCAAGAAAAGTATAATTTTATTGCCTGCTAAATAATAATTTTGGTTTATTTGTTAATCCAATTTTCGTAAATTATTATTGATTTTAATTTCAAAACAAAAAATAGCATTTAATATATAAAATGCTTAAGGTAATAGAGTAAATAGCCACACTTTTCCTAAAGTTGATGCTTTTACATAAAACTTTTCCTTGGCATTGTTTCTAGATAAATACTTTACCAGTTACCCGCATTTCTACTAAACTGAAAACTTAAAGAAACCCATTCCCAGAAATGATGACGTCACTAGGAGAGCTTCTTTATTATGAACTATTTCTTCACGTGCTTCTGAAATGGTCATTGTAGGTAAGCTCTCCTATGACAATATTTTTCGGTCATGAGTTTTTATGTAATGTGCCCTAACTATCCTAGACATTTGTCTCAACATCCGCCGTTATATACAACGTTTTTAAACATTTTAACAATAAAATAGACTAAAAATGTCAGTTTAACGAAAATCTTTAGCTTCAGGAGTGAAAATAATATTAGATTTGAAATTCCCGAATTCAGCAAGATCAAGTATTTGTGTAAATGCAACAAAAAATTTCCCAGTGTAATTCATCTAAATTCAGATTAACAGCTTCTATATGATTAATATAGAAAACTGAAATGCTAAAATATGATAGAAATATTAAATAAGATGCGATTTTAATTTTAAATAAGTTCTCTATTTATAAGAGAATACGACTCGATTTTTTTTTCTAAGAATTCTAAATGACGAAATATGAATTATTGATAAGCTTTTATCTTATCTCCAGGCATCAGACAAGTCTGAAGACGGCTATGTCTTCAATGAAACCGCTGCGATTAAACCCTGGGAAGATGAAACTATCTGCAAAATCTTATCTTGGTAGGTACCACGAGATCATTTATCAAACTCCATAAAGTAACTGTAACTTTCTTTCTAAAATTTGCCTCTTATCCCTTATATAATGTTTTGTTCTAGCATCTCTCTCTTGATTCAGCCGTTTATGACGTTAATAACAGGTTAACGGAAATCTGAAAGGACACGTAACGTTTAGCGCCACTTGCATATTGAAGACGTTTGTACGCGACGTTCCGGTGTTTTCATGTTTTTTTTTTTTCAAAAACGATTAGATTTTTCGCCTTTAATCGTCGAACCGAATTAAAAACGCGTTTTTGCAGCTGGTGTGGTGTATCTTTAAACTTTTTTTTTTCATTATTTTCTTCTTCTTTCTTTATTTTCTTCTTCTTTCAATCCCTGAAGATCCATTACTTAAAAGTTTCCGCAGTTTGGAAATTATACCTTGAAAAACTAGCAATTTCAGACTTAGATCTCCGTTGCTATCGGCTGTTCAATTGTAATACAAACTCTTAATTGATGTTCAGTTAATGTCTTTCCTATACCAAAATTTCCATTTTAATTTGCATCAAATAAATAACTTTGACTATGACTTGGGTGGAAACAACTAAATGCATTTTTCTAAACTCAAATTGTCTTAATAATGGATATTTGCCAACCATAGATTATGTAGCTGTATATTTGGTAATGGATAATGAAGACCTTTGCAATTTTGGATGAATTCTAAATTATAATGTTTAAGAATTGTATTGTAGGAAATCACCAATGCATTAACCTAAGACACGAATAAAAGTAAAACTAAAAGTGAAATGCACATTATTGCTTTTTAATCAGTTTAAATCAGTGCTGTTCCTCTTTCATTTTTAACCCTTTCACGATCGGTGGAATAAAAACTGACCCACTTATTTTTGACAATAATATAAACTTCTAAAAGTGCCAATTAAACAACACGATTTTTGATCCTCCACTTTTAATTTAAAAAAAAAATGTAAAGATACAGACAATTGCTTCATTGAGGATATGTTTTTCTTTTGACTAAGTTTTTAGATAAAAATTAACTGCCCCACAAAGGGTTAAATAGGGAAGTAACTGAAGCTTTCTGGCTTACTAAGAAACCATGTTTCAAACTGCTTACCTGGTAATGCTAATCCATAAAGAAAAGCAAAGTCAGTAATATAAAACATCTGATATGGAAAAAAAGGGTACAGTTTTGTTCACACGAAGTGAACATTTCTTTCTTTTACGAAACACATTAGCTTTTATAAAACACTGTACCACAACTTCGGTAGCGCTTCGCTCTCCCATTCCACACGTCCTGGGTTCTATCCTTGGACCGGGCAAGGTTGACTCAGCCTTTCATCCCTTCAGTGGGTCGATAAATGAGTACCAAGCATGCTTGGGAACTAAACACTTGGGGTTCCGCTTTCGGCTGACCACTTGACCGGAAGATCTGCTCCTGCACCCCAGAGCCCAAGGTCAAGAAAACTGAGATGGGCACAGTAGGCCTTTGCCCTCTATCGGCTGTCGTGCCACTGCGTTTAGTTTAGTACACCTAGCTTCAGATCCAAATAAAAAATTTTATACTATTAACTTATTACGGTAGATAGAGCTATTTGAATTCTACAAAACTAATTCTAATAGCTGGTAATTTTTATTTTTGTTTTAAGTTCTGTTACCCACCATTGCTCTTAAATAATTCATATTATATTTTATTTGTCCTTTCGTTTGAAATTGACTTTAAGGATAGTTTTCGATAGAAATATGTAGAGGGCAAAGTAACTCTGTAGTATGGGTAACTTTTACTCAAAGAGAGAAAACAATAAAAATATATTGAAGCATTATTATTAATTTTATATGCTCAATGCCAAGTCTAGAAATTATTTTCCTCTCCTCTCTTTAAATGATAGAGTAGTGCACGAAAGTTTTACCAGAAGTCTTAAAGTTGTCAAAGTAACCCCAGTTGTCTATACTCTAATTTATGGTCAAAGTTTATGTTGCATGAACATTTATTGAAAATATTGAATTTATATTTTCTTTTTCGTGTGGTAAAATGAAAATAATATATTGTTTTGAACAAATTTCAGCTCCTATTTTTGATGACAAAAATATATTACATCACTGAGAAAAAGAACCTCAAATAAAGTGTTTTAAGCAGTCTTATAAGTGAAAAAAGAGTTTCGCAATAAGAACTTGATAAATAGAGATTACAGCTAACTTAAAATTTGTTTTCTCAGACGATAAATATACTTCTATAACTTGTGACTACTTTGATAACTTTAATGAATATTACGATAAGAAATGCGTGTGTCAATACTAAGACATTTGATTGAATATTTTGTTTTTAAAAACAGTTTTCAAATTTTATGATCTAACTAAAATAAAATATATTATTTGTTTTCCGATAAATTTCTAACAGAAAAATAACAAAATACCTAATTTAAAAGAAGGGAAATTAGCGTTTATCAATTTCCTTATTTTCATTTGCTCATTCTTATAAAAATATCTTGAATTTCCAAAATAAACAAATTATAAATACATTATTTTCAAACTTTCCTCCTTGAAATTTAACACATCATAACAAAACGTGTTTGAAATATTTTATTGAAATTGAGGAAAAGCAATTATACGGAATCATTTCGCTATTGCCGTTTAATTAGCTTATTTAAATATTGAATCTTCACTAGCAGCTGAATACAATAGAAATTCATTGGAAATTTATATGGGGATACATACCATAATATTTATTCTTAACTGTTACTCAAAAAATGTTTTTCTTTCTTTGAACTGCGTTAATTCTATTGTATAGAGGAATTAATTTTGCATTATGATTACATAAGCTAACCTTTGATTTCAGGAATTAGAATTATTTCGTTTTACGTATCAGATTACATTTGAATAGTTTAGAGAAATAATTTCTTAAGTGACATTCTTCAAAACAGTTGAGATTTCAAGGGCAAATATTTTATTTTAAACTTATTTGACTATACAATATTAATTTATAAATGTTAAATTAATAATTGAACCTCAAACTTCAAAGATTTTAGTTGATGAAGGCAGTGTACGACAATTATTGGGTGCTTTCGGAGAGGGATTAAAGTACATTTGGCATCCCAACGATGGCACCCCAACGAATCCCAACGATGGCACCCCAACGATGGCTGGTCGATATGAATTCCGCCCCTGGCTGACCATTGAAATGACATAAAAAATATCCTCAGTGGTAAGCGGATCACTGATTATTGGATCCTTGCCATCAGGTTAGCCGTGGGAGATTTTCATGGTTTTTCTCTACAGGTGACCAATTGTAGGTTAGTTCCAGCAAAAACTCCACCACGTAAGCAAATTTAACCTTGATTCAGGACTCTTGTTTTCTGGATTGAGTTCAAAATTACCAAGCTACGCAAGGAAGTGGTAGTCATAAATTTGAAATTGGGTCCTTTGTTCAACGATGGTTATAAAATAAAGCTTTACATGAAAAAACCATTTATTTTCCACCTCTTTATTTTCTACACTAAGCGCATAAACTATTTTACTTAAATCTACTAAAATATCACTTATAACCTACATCTATTCAGATTTACAATTATTTCGTATAGGATTATGAATTTAATTTTAAAAGAAATCTGTAAAGTCTTCTATATGAACATGAAAAATAAATTATGACAATCGATACTTTTTATTAATATATATTTAATTTTGTTTCAGAGAACTAGAAGGAACTGATTATTTTTGCATTGACCCATTACATTGCTGTTGAAATAGGTAAGATGATTTTCTTCTAAAGAGTGTTCGAAAACACTATTTTACATTTGTAATATATTATAGGTCCTTCAAATCTCTAAAAACTTTAAACTTCAGTGATATGTATGAGAAATCACTTAACTTAAATACTTATAAATTTATAAAAGGATTCTTCAGTGTTTTTTGAGAAAGATCAAAAAATTTGTTAGTTTACAATGTTTCCCATTATTTTGTCCATATATTAAAAATTTACACAACTTTCTTTAAAAAGGTACAAAAATTGCTTAGAAAATTGCTAGAAACTTTTTAATTTTTTAAAGTATTCATATCGAACTTTTTTCATTAGTTACTAAACACAATTCACGCATCCGCACACTTTCCACGCATCCGTAGTATAGAAGAATGTTCAGATCTTGCACAATTTTCAACGTTTTTTTTTTTTTTTTTTCTTTTTAAATGTTAAAATGATAATTTTCTTAGTAATTCGAAATTTCATTAAAATTTTTGCTTAATTTTTTTCTAAATAGTTTTAAAATTATAGCAAAAAAAAAAAAAAATTGCATGACAAGAAAAGCAGTTTTACTAGAAATTCTCGTTTTCAAAATTATAATTCTTATTGAGCACACACAAATAGTACTAGGAGTTTCTGCTGTCTTGAGAAAAACAAGATAAACCCATTCACCGACAGTGTTCCGTATAATGTTGAAAATATATGAAAACACTTAAGTGAAGAAAAAAAAAATGGTAGTAAATATTTCTCTATTAGCTGGAATATGAATATTTTATTATTAATATATTATGGTAGATGGAACTATTATGTTTCTGAAAAAGAAATAATAACTACATAAATAAAAATTTAAGAAAAAAGGAATCTCAGAAAAGAATTGTCTATTGAAAAAGAAGCAAGGCACAAATAAGTTAAACTGGGGAACTAGTCGTCAGTCGCTCTTAAAAATTCATAACACTCATATAACTGCAATTTTCTTTCCCTGTGATAGCTAAAAATTATGAAATAAATTGATCTTTAAATAAATACCGGGAAATTCTGTCTGCGAAGAAACGCACTTCCGTATATGAGGGAGCATAAGATGACTTGATAAAAAAAATATTAGGGCATTTACCCTTAAATGTATGCCTCAAATGTACACATCAGATGTTCTGTTGGATACATTTGTAACAGGTTTATTATGTATGCACATGCATTTTTGTGTCTTATATGTTGGATCTCCTTAAGATAGAACATTACCATTGAATTAAAGGGAAAAAACCTTACCATTTTCTCATATATAAGAACCTTTTGCATTACTGTGAAATGAGCCGTGTAATTTCGCGATATTACTATTAAAATTCTGATTATTATTATATTGCACATGCGTGGCAATTCTAGAGTTTCAGAAAAGCAACATCTTATGGTGATGGCCAAAAATACATTTATGTCGTAGTAAAGTGGTAAATGTATCAATAAAATTTTCTAGAAAATGGTATAATTTACGTCTAAAAGCTTAAAGACCGTAAAAATCCAAAGTAGTAAATGGAACAAGTGGTAAGTTTTAGATGCAGTAATATAGATATTGCTGCCCATGAATTTAACTATACTAGGAAAAATTAAAAATAAAATTACGGAGAAAAGAACTGACACTCAGAATGCAGCATTCGTAAAACCCTGCCTATCGTAGAATCCATTTTTATTCTAAAATTTTAGACCTTAATTTTTATTTTACTACAGTGATTCAGAGATTTTCTATTAAATATTTCGGTAAAAATTACAGAATATTAGACTTTTTGTTCCTTAAACTTTTACGGTAAAAATGGATCTTACAGTAAAAAGGTACTGGCACCCTGAGTGTCTATACTTTTTACTATAATATAATCACGAATTTTTTACAGAGTAGCTTAAATTCACGAATGATAATTTCCGTAAAATCTACCAATTTATTATAGTATGCATGAATAATACGCATGAATAATAGACAATTATTACTTTTTTAAAATGAAATTTATTTATACCATGTACTTTTTGATTAGTCTAGCATTTGTGTTAGGTAATAAGTGTTTCTGCTAGAGATGAGCTTATTACCTTAGCCGCTTCAATATTGTTTACAAATTCAAATAACAAGTTTTATCTTCGCAAAAGGATAATAAATGGTCAATTAATATCTTAAGTTATAATATGCAATTACTTAAATAATTTTTTTTAATATTTTTCTTTTTCAGGTAAAAGTGAAAGAAAATGATGAGAAAGAAGTCTATAAATATATAATATATGTAATATTTTTTTATTTCAAGACTCAATGAACGTTGAAAATGGGTAAAATCTTCATTTGTTGAGTTTTTTTTTTTCTTTTTTTTTTTTTTTAAATTTTAATCTGTGTATTATTGACCTTTATAATAAAAAATCTGAATAAATACGTTAATTTTTCCAAGGTTATGGTCATTTTTAAAAACAGAAACAAAAAGCAAGAGACGACGGAATAACGATGATAGCAGCTCCAGCCTTTGGCATAATGTTTTTCATTTCGATTTAAATTATTATCTTAGTCACCGTTGAAGCTACATTTATTCGTTTAAATTTTTTTTTTCGAGGGAAAGTTGTTTTGTTTTGACTATTTCAATTATTTTCAAACTTTTTTTTCGTTGTTATTAACCAGTTCTTTTCCGAACTGTCATTCATTTTAATTGCTATTTGCTATTTTTATTAGCAATCTGTTCGTTTCTATTTGCTATTTGTTAGGTATTACAAGTTGTTTTTCTTTTGAAACTTGAACATGCATATAAGTTGTAAGTACCATTACCTGACCTTCTATACTGTCTCATACTCACGACTGACTTTAAATAAATGAATAAATTAAATACAAACAGCGATTTTTTCTAAAGCTCGTGCACGTAGAGGAAAAAATGTTCTAATCTAATGATTCAGTGGATATTTGTTGCTGTATCATCATCTGATAACATAGCAAATAGAAAGAAAAAAAAGGAAAAAAAACTATTCCTGGAAAGTTTATATATTTAAGAAAAGATTTTGTTTTTCTTTGTGTCTCATATTGTCTCCCTTTGTGTCTTAAAAGATTTTTTGTCAATGCCTTTCTGTCGACTCGAAACCTACCAATAAACTATTATAATAAGATAGGTATTTTATTTACGTCGCACTAGATCTGCACAATGTGCTATTGGCGACGGCCAGGGAAACATCCCTGAGAATTATCCGAAGACAAGTCATCGCAATTTTGATCATCTGCAGAGGGGATGACTCACCTGCTTTGATAGCCTGATTAAATCCATGCCTGACATTAGGGTTTCAATAGGTTTTAAAATATAATTTTAATTTTGATGTAAGGGTCATTTTTTTGGCATTTATTTATTTTTCTTATTGATAAAATTTTATCTCGAAAATTAACCTAACATTGTTTATCAACATTTTGAGTGTTTATTTAAAAAGAATAATTTAAGTGGTAGTGCTTAAATTTTTTAAATATTTAATAATTTGGGAAAATTGAATGTTCTTGTTACATTTATGTTGGTTTAATTAAATATGTTTTCAATCTATGTAATTTTTTACGATTCCATTAAAAGTTGAAAAGCAATGGTATATGGTATAATTCGAAATAATAACATAAAACATAATAACAATTTTCTGTCATTCATGATTCAGTTTAATTAGCAAATATTTTAATGCATCAACTGCTTTTACATCACTGTTTTATAAGCATTTAATTTTTAATATAAATTACAGAATTTGATAAAACTTTTATTTTAATTTTAAAAAATATCAATTGCTACCCATAGAAACTAACAACCAGCAAAAATAATGAATCTTTAAAATTTACAAATGCATATCAAAATTTTATAACTTCCTTAATGCTCTTACTGACTAGGATATATCACCAAAATTATTTTTCCTTATCTAACAAGAAACTTTTTTAGCACTTTGTACTACTGGTGCTACTTAACCCTTTGATGCAGGTGGCACACCTGTGTCCCTTTTATATATTTTTTTCTGATGCTCTAATTACAAACAAAAATTTATTTTGGTATTGTTTTAATTAAGAAAAACAGTCTAATAGTTACAAAAAAAATTTTCGATTACCGGAATTATATTTGTGCTAAAATAATAAAGCAATAAAGTAGTTTCAAAAATCATTTTTTTCATTCATATTTAAAAATTTATCAATAATTAATTTTGCAAAGTAAAGAAATTTCAATGATGAATAGCAGTTCTTCTCAGATCTAAATGACTCCAAATAAGGGCAAATTCGAAAAAGTATTGTTTGGAAGTGACAATGTTGAACAGTTAGTGTTTGGAAGATTTTACCTTTAACGCAGAAAAAGACAACGGTGGTTTTATACTGTATTTCATGACCATAAATTATTAAAATGCTAAATATATTATTTTTACCTATTTTGACCTGAATTAATACAAAATAATAAAAAAAATTTACGGAAAATGTGTTTAATGAAAATTTTGCGTCAGTTTATTAATTAAATGTAAGCTGTTTCCTGGAAGACAAATGCTTGACTGATGAAATAATAAGTTTCGCATTTCAAGGTTGAGTAGCAATAAAACTCCAAAACAAAAGAACTTCAAAAACAAAAGAACTAATATAAATAGCTACTTTGCTAGGACAAACATGTGTTAAAACTTTTAAATTATTTTTATGAAAACAGCCATTCTCTTAGTTGCAAATGGATTTGAAAATTTTGCGTAGCAAAATTTTAAGTACTTTTAAAAAGATCGTGATATGATGATACAAATAGTGATCATTCCCATAGATTATAATAATAGAAATGGTGAACATGATCATAGACTATAATAATGGAAATGCTAAGTTGATGAAAGCATAGCTCTAATTGGTGAAGGACAAGAGGTACATAGAAGGTTGCGAACCCGTCATTGAGCTCTTAACGGAACAGTTAGGGAGGCCGCTATTTTTCCATTTGAAATCAAGCAAATGGGATTTTTGAAAGAAAACTAATCTTTAAGAAAAATAAGGTGATAGCTAACTCTAAAAAATACTCGTTAAATTTATTCGTGAGTATCCAACCACTTTTTGTCATAATACCAATTTTCCTATCAAGTCACCCATTCCTGCATATAAACTTAAACTGTATAAAATATCTGGGCACCTGGGGTCCCATTCATCTTGAGCTTGTTCTTTGTGGTGCTTCGATGAGGTTGGGGAATACAAACGAAGTAAAGGAGTATTCATGGGAATCATTGAAGTTCTGACTGCTTAATTATTTGCAGTAGAGTGAACATTCCTGCATATTGCTTGCTTTATTTAGGAAAACTGGGCACCTGGGCCCATGCCCATACACCATGAAAATAAGTACATTGAGGTAAAAACGTTTTGAATTTAGCAGCATTGGGGTACATTCCTGCCTATGCATAAAATGCAGTCTATATATGAAAAATTAATATCGGAAAAAATTAGTAGTACATATTTGTTTATACCAAGTGGATATTTCTGTCTGTTACCTACCATTTTTGTCTTAAATAAATAATGTGCCTTACTTCAGATCCAATTATAAAAGTCTATACTAGTAATGCATTATGGAAGACTGAGCTACCTTGATTCAGCAAGATTAATCCTACAAATAAATTACAAGTAGTACCACTTTTTTTTCATTTTTCAAAAAAGTAACTGTCCTTTTAAAAGGACGCTGGGCATAAATGGATTTTGATTTTTTTTTCTTTTTTTTTTTTTAAAAAAAAGAAGAAATGGGTTGAAGGTAAAGTCGGGACCAGATATCTTGGTTTTGCTTATATTCTCTTATTAATCTGGAAAAAAAAAGTTTTTTTTTTTTTTTTTGAAGAGAAAATACACCCTCTATAATGACTAAAATATTGATCTTTAACGAAAGCAAAAGAGATCATATAAAGAATAAAGATCCAAGCGAAGAAGCAGAAAAAAAAACACGCAGTAATGACGAAAAAAGAAAGTTCTCAGTCTTAAAGAAATTCATCATAACAGCGCATCATGCATAAGGTAGAATGAAAGACAAAGAAAGTATAGGGGGTAATTGTACCACCCATTCCAATATGGCCGACATTAATTGCGTGAAGTTTTGCTGAGGATTTTGGATGTGCGTGACCTAAAGAGTAAGAAAGATTTTTCTTATTTCTTCTGTGTGCCCTACACTCTTCCTGTTTTACCCTATGTTTCAATGAGACCTAGTTATAACTATTTTCGAGGGACAGAGAAAGAAATGTACTAAGCGAATTTTGAAACAACGAAACTTCATTTTTCTTCTTTAGAACTTTTCCCAAGATTGCATTAAATGAGCCTTCAAGAACAGGATTTTCTGCAAACTTTATTTTTTGTTTTTGTTTTTGTTTCGGTAAAGCGGAAGATCGCCAAAGAATAAATGCTTTAAAACATAAAGCGGGAATTCTATTATGTAGTAGAGATGGATAACTATGTTTTATTGCGTCTAAAGTGATTGAGTTGATATTTCTATTCTTTAAATTATATTTGGTTTAGTATATGCTTTATCTAAATATTATACACAACATTTTTTCTAACTACTGGAAAATCAGGGTTCGTAAGAACCATTAAAAAAATGTGTTAAGTTTAAAAAAGTAGAGAAAAAGGTGCAAGGTTTTTTTAAAATTAGTTTTCATTTAAAAGTAAATACTTTAATCTCATAGGCTTTGTAACTCCGTTTATTTGACATTTTTAATATTGTTGTAGTGGTTACACTAAAAAAAAAATGCATCTTGTGTTCTAAAAACTTTTCTTCGAAGGCTTTGTTGCTGTGGTGGTGGTTTCGTCAAGAAGTGTAAAAAGTGGTGACCAATAAAAAGTAAAAATGTATTAACACATTGCAAGCGGATAACGTAAAAATATGCTTTTGAAATTTCGACGATCCATACAAAAGTTTAAAAAGTGGTAGCAAAACTACTTCGTTTCAGCTCTGTTTTTCTGAAAAATGATCCATTCGTGATTGCCACAAGCATAAATGATTCATTATATAAGTAATATGAGCCACAATCTTTCGCTGTATTTATTTTTTATTTTTTATTTTTATTGAACATGTAGGTATAGGGACAAGTTTTCTCCAACTTCTATGAAATCTTGCCCACCTCTTTTTTTAAAAATTTTAATCTATAACAGCTGTAATACATTTATTGGAAAAATTGCCCGCATACAATGTGTTAAAAGATTACAACCAGCCGAAATTTCTAACACATTTCTTTCAGTTCATTATTAAAATAGTTTGCTCTAAATTTTGATAATTTAAGTAATTCTTCCGCTTCCCCTCCCCCAGATGATTTTACTTTTATACATTTAAAGTGGTAGCAAAACTTATATTTTTATTTCTTCTCTATTTAAAAA